TGTATAGAACTGCTTGCTGAAGTTTAGAGTTGGTTCCTTAATGCTGAATAAGCCAGCACTCATAACACCTGTAGAACTAGGCCTCCAGAACTAGGGATGTTGTCCCATGGGATTAGGGGTGGAGGGAGTTAACATCATGTTGATCTTGGTTTTGCTGTCTTGTAAGTATAATAAATGTCCTGAGTCCAATTAGGTTCTTTTTCTCTTCCCAGCCTTATCTATGGATGTGTGGCACTGCCACCATGCTGTTGCCTAGGAATTGCTTACGTGCTTGAAACTCCTCACATTCACATTGCCTCTATGGACACAGATATTCTTTGGGGTATTACTCTTATACAGCCTTAACTAGCAGAGCTTCCAATAGCACAGGTTCAAAGTCTGTTCTTTGATTTTGCAGCTTATCATTAAAGCTTATTTGTAATAAATGATTTAAAGTAACTGATTGTTGTTCATATAACAATTATTATTATAGGACATAATCATCACACACACACACACACACACACACACACAGCAAAGATCAGAATGCCAAGGAGGGAAAGAAGAATCTGAAGGTCAATTCTCTTACATTCTTCTATTGACAAACTTTCTCATTGGAACTTTCATTTATTTCATCAAAGGATTGTGGCCAATGACCTAAGTTATCATCCCTAAACTTAAACCACGGTTATATCACAGCAAGCATATAAATATAATAATAGTCTAATTCTAGAACTAATATTTAAAAAGGCCAAACAGGGTAAAGTAACTGTAACAGATGTCACTATAAAGTAAAACTGATCACTTAGTGTAGAATACCAAAGTTAAAGTGGTGATTTGAAGCCTATGTTTCAGAAACATGGAAAAATGTACACGGAAAGAAAATCAGAACACAAAATTTAATCTATAGTATTATTTTAATGTAAAAGCATGCATATATGTGAAACAAATTAGAATGGAAAACTGAAAGGAAACATGTTTGGAGGCGATTGGGTCGTGGAATCTTTTTAGTCTGTTGTAATGTTGTGCAGTACGAATTGGAAAGAATTTAACTTTGAAATGTGGTTCATTTTAACAAAATTATTGTGGAAATTATATTGCTGGTCTTAGAACACAAACACTAAAATCATAGAGGTTATATTTAATTCTTATTAACTTAATTCTGCCAAGGCTGCCTTTGGATTCATTGCAGTTCAATTTATCAAGCAGTTACTGTGTGCCAGGCACTGGGATAAGCATTTTACATAGATCATCTCTTCTAATCCTCACAATAGGTACTATTTTTATCACTTTATGGAGGAGGTTAATTAACTTGCCTGGGTCACATGCTAGTCAGTGGTGAAGTTAGTATTTCCACCAACGCAGCCTGGCTCCAGAGCCATGTAATATAAGGGCTGATAATCTCCACAGAGCAAATGTTAACTGAGATGATGCTCAAACTATAAATCTGCAACCTGAGAGGGACAAACTCTTATACACGTCTCCTTCCCATTACTCTAGCATTTCAGCTAGACCTGTGTATCTCTATTTGTCTTTAGAACTGCATGATGTTTGCAGTCCATCATAGTGAACTAATATTATTCATTGTATGAGACAAAAGACTGATTTTACACTCAAACTCATTGTAGCCTCGTTTTTAAAAAATCTAATTGTGATAAAAATCACATTGTACTTTACCCTGTGTAACCCGTAATAACCTGTGACCAACAGCAACACAGTTTTTGTTTTGTTTACTTTATGGACAGTTAGGTATTATGTAAGTGATGAAAATTGAAAATAAAGAAACTAGACCCAAAAAATGAGAAACAAAACGAGCAGTGAAGAGATTGAGAAAAGGAGGAAGATACATAGAAGAAGAAAAAGAAGGGGGCACAAGTTAGACTGGAAAAGCAAAAGCAAAGGGTAGGGAGGGAGCAGGCTCATTAGGTCAGAAGCAACGTACCGTCTTCTAAGTTCTGGGCAGGGGCAGATCAACTGATTAAGATTCCTGACCTTTAAAATGTTATTCAGCTGTTTTACCAATTGTCCAGGGCTTTCTAGCGACTCCATTCGTAACCGCTGGTCTCTACCGGTTGGAGTGGCCACAGCAGACAATGGATGGGTGTTCGGGACCGCTATTGCAGAACTCAAAGCAGCCCTTACGCCCCTCCTCTTTCACGCGGTCAAGATTCACTCCGTTACTGCTTGTAAGTATGTATTTTACTCCCTCCAACCCACCCCCATTTGTTTTCATTTTCACGGTGCTGGGGAGTCCGCAGGGATTCGACGGAGACGGGGGCACCAGGACAGAGGCTGGGGTTTTGCGTCCCTAAGGCAAGACAAATTCAGAAAAGCGAAAATTACCTATTTATCTATCTAATTATCTATCTAGAGGGCTAAGACTCCAAGGAGCTGAAAGACAGACGCTGGGTGAGAAGGGAGAGGGTGACGAGGGAAGCAAAGACGCCGTCAGAGAACCAGCCTCCATGAGACTATTGGCTGAGATGGTCCCCAAACCACCAGGCAGTCAAAATCGCGAGCTGCAGGTTACCGTGGCAACCGTAGGGTCTCGCGAGACTGACATTGCGCCTGCGCACTGCCGCTTCAGGGCACTGGGGTTTCTAGCCACGGTCCTAAACTCAGGGTTTTGGTAGAGGGGCCTCGTTCTGTCGCTTCCGGGCCGCGCGACGCTGGGGGCCGACTTCCCCCATGAGACTGACCTAAGACAGAATATTAAAACGTGAAGCGTTCCGAGCCGTTCCTCTCCGTCCCACCGCACTGGGAAGGCGGGCCCGGGGGCCGAGGGTTGTGCGCACGCTCGGCGCAGGCGCACGTGGAGCCGCCGGGGCTGGGCGCGGAGGCGGGAGCGGGAGTGGAGAGGAGCTCGCGGGACGCCGACCCCGCAGGAGGGCCTGGGACCCCGGCGACGGCTGAAGCCGGCGGGCACGCAAGGTCTCCACGGCTTCCCGGACGTCTCTCGCGCGGCCGCCGGACGGGAAGACGGACAACAAAGTAACGACAACTCCGTGTGCTAAATAAATAGTAAAGGACGGAGGTACCAGATGAAGGGGCTGCGCACAGGAGGGAGGGACTGACCCTGGGTCAGGACGGCAGCCACTGAGTACCGGCGCCGCCATCCCCTCCAGAAACCGGGGGTCATCCCTGAGCTTTTCCTCGTCTTTACTCCCAGTTGATCATTAGGTCGGGGGATTGTCACCTCCTCTTTCAATTAACGTGTTCCTCTCCATCCCCTCAGCGGCTCGGCTAGTGCAGGCCACTACCATTTCTTATCTGGAATACTGCAGGAGCTCTTGGCTGCTTCCAGTCGTGCAATAACGCTTTTCTAATCATGCCACTCCTCCGCTGGGAACGTTACAGTCGCTTCCTACTGGCAGCCTTGCAAGGGCATTTACCACCTAGTCCTTGCCTACGTTTCCAAATAGCTCACCACTCCGTAGCATCTCTGCCCCAGCGGCGTTGAACTTATTTCCCTTAATTCTGTTTTCTGGGATACCTCTCTACTTCGTACTCCCTTTGGTCGGAATTATTCAGATGTAGGTTAAAAGGTCTCTTCTTCCAGGAGGCCTTCCTTTCCTTACCCCCTTAACTAAGTTAGGCCTTTGCTATATGTTCCCTAAGCATCCTGTAGTTCCCTGACCTTAATGTGCACCACATTTTACCTGTTGATGTGTATTCTTCATTGACTCTAAGCTCATCGAGGCCAGTGACTGTTTTTGCCTTGTTTAACACTTAATCTGTATGACCTGGTGCGTAGTGGATAAATATTTGTTTAAGTAAGAAAGGTGGTCAAGGGGCTGAGAATAGGAGTGCAATTCCAGGCAGAGGGACTAATGTGTATATAGACGTGGAGATGAGGAACTGGTGGCCTTGTTAAATAGTATGTGGTTCAGTGTTGGGGGTCATGTGCGTGGTGGGGCATAAGGAGAAAGGCATGTGTACGTGGGGGCCACAGTGTGGAGGGCAGTTGTCTGTCACTTAAAAGAATTTGCACATGATCCCGTAAGCAGCAGAGGTCTCTGTGACATAGCTTAAAAGGCAGCTTGGCGAGGTCTTCCTACTGTCCTTCCTTTCTGCAAACGTATTATTTCTTACCAGTCAGCACTTTTGTTTTTGGATTACAACATATTAGATTCTGTTCATCTGAACTACTTGACTCTCTTCATCTCCCCTTACCAGATTCTGAAGACAGGAGAATTTATTGCCTATCTTGCTATCCCTCTGGAGCACATAATCGTAAGTATTTACCCTGTGCTGTTTGGATGCTGAGAAGCATTAACTAACTTGCGGTTTGGCAAGAACTCTGTTAGGTCATATTTGTCTTGCCCCTTAGTCATTTATTTCCCTCTTTCTGACCACCTTATACCATCCGCTGGCAACCACTTTATTGGATTCGGATGAGCTGCTTTTCTTCCTGATGCCCTGGGCTCAAGGGGAGGATAGAGACAGCCGGGGGAGGGCACACAGTGGCTGCATGGAGGAAGCAGCTTAGGTAGCAGATGTCTCCAGCAGTGGACAGTACTTCTACGAGGTGACCACAGTTTGATCTCTCACCCAAGGAGCTGAATTTTGGTTTTCTGTAGGAAGGTGACTGGGAGGAATATCGGAGACCAGTAGAAGTCAGGGGACCACTTGTCAGGGCTGTCCAGTGTGGAAAGGCTGCCTGACCTACACCAGCAGTTCCTAGTTGCAATTCTGAATCAGATTCACCTGGGTAGCTTTTTTTTTTTATAAGCAGAAGTGCCCTGGCCATATTCCAAGAAATTCCAATTCAGTAGATCTGAGGTGAGGACCGTCCATCGGTATGTTTCAAAAAGCCACAGGTTATTTTTGAGGTGCAGCCAGGATTGAAAGAGTGTAAAACCAGGATTTGGAAAACTAGTTGTGACTTTGGGCACTGAGTCTGTTTCTTCATCTACACACTGGGAAATTCTACAGGAGTGTTGTGTGAGTCAAATAATTCATGGAGAAGGTGTTTGATTCATTCCGACCCACTCCACAGACACACTTGCTCTTCATCAGATGCCTGCCTGGTAAATGGAGTTTCACTGGAGAGGACTTAACTTCTTTTAGTTTTGCACAGTGGGTCCTGATGGTTCTCAGTCGAGCTCCAGGGCGAGGAAGAAAATTGAGGGAAGAGAAAGGAATGCAAGGTTCCCTCTGGGAAGGATAAACAGGATAAGCTCCCTTGACCAGTGGCTTATAAGATTTTCCCCAATAAGGATCCCTCTTATTTTTTCTTAATGGATGAATATCTTTAAATTTCATTACATTTGCCAAGTTTTCATGAAATTGCCAGCCAGAGCAGTCAGCTTGAGATAACCACAAGAAGGGAGATATATAACTATATCTGCATCAAATGTCTCAGGAAGGATAGACAAGAAACTTAGGGCCCTGGGAGAGAGGGAGACTTACAAAAGGGGACAATGAAAGTATTATTTGATGTTCTAATCATGTGCATAGGTTACTGCTCAGATCTCTTAAAAAATCACACCTGGTTATGAATGGCAGAAGCCTCTGAGCCCTTATGGATTGTGAGCTCCATGCAGGTTGACGTAGGATCTTGTTCACCAGACAGTACAACCCACATATTCTGAAGACATGCATTTTTAGCTAACATGAATTTTCTGTTGTCATTTTGCTTCTCTGTAAAGGATTTCGAAATGGCTGCAGCTCCTCAAGCACCAGGGAGGGGATCTGTTCGTAAGACGAGACCTTTAATTGTAAAGACATCGCTGAACAATCCATACACTATTTGCTGGAGCCCCCTGGAGAAAGAGGATATGCACTTTATATTACAGACTCTTGAGGACAAGTTTAAATCTCTTGGATTTCAGAAGATTGAGGATAAGAAGAAAAAGAAAAAAACAACTTTCCTAAAAAAACAAAGCAGAGAGAAATGCAGCATAGACGTTGAAATTAGTGAGGATCTGGAGGGGAAAAATCCAGACGCTAACCAGCAAGTGTCAGGGTGGACACCTGTTCTTGTGAGGAAGCAGCTGGCCATTGGCGTTAATGAAGTTACCCGCGCCCTGGAGAGGAATGACCTGCTTTTAGTGCTAGTGTGTAAGTCCGTCAAGCCTGCCATTATCACCTCCCACTTGATTCAGTTAAGTTTAAGCAGAACTGTCCCTGCCTGTCAGGTTCCCCGGCTCAGTGAGAGAATTGCCCCTGTCATTGGCTTAAAATGTGTTCTAGCCTTGGGGTTCAAAAAAAACACCACTGACTTTGTTGAAGAAATAAGAGCTATCATTCCCAGAGTACCCTGCTTAAATGTGCCATGGCTTCAAGACAGGAGTGAAGATACTGGGGAAAATTTAGAGACTGAATCTTTGGAAAGCCAAGACAAAGAGATTTTGGAAACTTCATTTGAAGACATCTCAAAACATAAGAGAAAGCTTGTTGAAGGTCAGCAGGCTTCTGCGGTCACATTACAACCCCTTAAAATAAAGAAACTGATTCCAAACCCTAATAAGATAAGGAAACCACCCAAAAGTAAAAAAAGTACTTCAAAGTAATCTTGTATAACCTTGTCATTTCATATAATTTGTAAAAGGACACTTTGTAGAAAAGCCCTGAAACTAACAAAATGAGTTACACAAATTCTTAGGATTCTGTTTGGTAATGTTCCTTTCAAATGTATAAGACTCTGTACGGCACATATATGCTGAAGCTTAAAAACACTAAGTGTAGAAAATATTCAAAAACATAAATATCAAAACAAAAGTTTATTGAAACTAATGTCCATGCTTATATAAATTCACGTTTTTGAAGGCTGGTACAATGCTTGTAAGCAAGAACATCTGTGTCCTATAACACTTAACATTTCTCTATCAAACTTGAAAATATGCCACAGTAAACATGGTCCTAGTCAGGAGGGTAGATGAAACTGGATTGGAGAAGCATCAGTTTGAAAGGAAAGATACTAAATGCCAAGCAATACATTGTCTTCAGAAGCAATACATCGTTTTTTTCTTCGTCAATTTGACCTTTGTAGGTACGCATAGACACAGAGTTGGGAAAGGCTATGGAAAAGGCAGGTGAGGTATTTTGACTAGTTAGAATTCACCCTTTTAAATGGTTAATTTTCTGTCTTGGAAATTTAATATGTGTAAAACGTAGGCTGTAATGAGGTGAAGTGTGGCAAGAAGAATAATAAAACAGCAGCTTGGGTTCTCAGAGGTGGGGTCCTTGTGGTTAGGAAATGGAGCATAATGAATGCTTTTTGTTAAAGTGTTTATAGTTTGTTTGGAAAAGTCACTTTCTGTAATTTAGGGGGAAGGTATTGGATTACCAAAATTTTTTGGTTGACTCAAATTATATGCTGCCTCTTCATTTAAATTTTACTTAGTGTCTTCTTGGCAAAGAAAAAAAAAGGTATGGAGTGGAGTATTTTCATTACAGACAAAGAGAACAATGTATTTTTTTTGAACCTTTGAGACAGTTTATATTGCATTTAAGTTTAGTTTTAATAGGTACTTTATAAACAGGCAGTTATTGATTTTCTATTTTAAAATGTTCATTGGTAATCTTAAATTATAGAGGCAAATGTGGCTATTAATGTACTTAAAAATAAGTAAAAAATGTATCTTTAAAGGAACGGTGAATTGGTACGATTTTGTTTCTTGAGGCCTTTCCCCTGTTAAGAATGGTAATAGGTTTGAACCATCATAAGTCTTGCATGTGTCTAGAACAGTGCTGGCCCTAATTGTGCACTGCTCTGGGGCTCAAGTGCCCCCTCTAGTGGTAGTCTCAGGGATGCCATAGCCACGGGTTGGTCTTTAGGATAATAGCAAGGTACAGAAAGTAGCTTTCAACTCCGTAGTGTAAATCAGGGTTAACAAGCTTTTTCTGTAAAGGGCCAGATGGTAAATATTTTAGGCTCTGCAGGCCATGTGGTCTGTCACAACTTGACCTTGTAGCATGAAACAGCCACAGGCAGCACATCAAGGAAAATGTGGCTGTGTTCCAGTAAAACTATTTATGGAGGCTGAAATTTGAATTTCGTATAATTTTGATGTGTCAGAAAATGATGTTCTTTTGACTTTCTTCCCCAGCTTTTCAAAAAAATAAAAACTATTCTTAGCTCATGGGCTACACACACACACACAAAAAAAGCGGTGGGCCGGATTTGGTCCATGGGCCATAGTTTGGTAGCCCTCCCTGGTATAAGATGTGATCGGTCTTACTGGACTACTTAAAACATGAAGGAAATGCTGTCGTGTTTTCTAAAATTATTAACTTTTCTGGACTGAACGGCCTAGGCACTGGTACAGTAAAGGCAGGAAGAAGGATCTACTTTATATTTGAGTCAAGGCCAGTCTGTGTGGCCTTGTTCAGCATCTTTTTTTTCCCCTTGGAGTACTGGCAATATATACACAGATATGTACACTGTGAAACTTTGTTTTTCAAATTCTAGATAAAAACACCATCAGTAACAAAATTATGAATACTTATTTACAAATAAGACATTTTTCATTTGCATGACAGTGTCCATGATAAATTAAAGTCACATAAAGGAAGATGTGCAATTTTGCATAAGTAATAAAAACATTCAAACTATCAATGTCCTGATAGTACTAATAAATTCCACTGGGCATTTCTTTTTACGTGAGAGCTTTTATTTTCTTTTCCTCACACATCCTTGATGTTGCTGAGAAGAAACAAGTTTGCACAGCAGCAGCAAAGTCTAGTCATGGGTGAACGCTCTTACAGAGAGCACACTGAATGCTTGCACAAACTTTGAAACAGTCCACTGACCCGTTGAAGATCAGTGTACAAATCTGTGTGTTTACTGATTAGGCAACTTTGCTTATGGAGAAGTAAGGGTAGCCAGTACATTTTTCTGTCTCTCCACACTTACATATCCACCACTTGTCATTAGTTACAGAAGTGCTGATTCCATAAATGTCCCAATGATATCACATAAGGTGATTTAAGTAAAAATTTTCCAAATGGATCCTTTGTTCTGTTACATGGGCAAATATACCATCACTTAATAAATAGAAATGCTGCATTTTATTTCCATAGCAAAGACTTTCTTACATGATTCTGTCACTTCTGTATAGTCTGTACAAAAACAGTCCCTTTTCTAGAGAGTGGAAAAATACCCTCTCTTCATCGAGAGAGCCAAAAATTTGACAGAGGAATGCGCTGTTTGTACCCTTTCATCCCTCCCACGGATGAGTAAACAGTGGAAAAAAGATGAATTTTAACATTCTGGCTAGAAATGCCTACTACTGGCACATATGGATGTTTTTTCATCTTTTCTGATTGTTGTCGACTACTTCAGTTTCACTTAAGTTGTGCTTTTATTCTTCTTTGGAATGGCAATTCCAGGAATCATTAAATAGAATATTAACAAATGATGATGTCAGAGTTCTAGAAATAAAAATATCCATCTACTGTAGTACAAGTCCAACCTAAAGGGAGGAAAGAAATGGAATCGTAAGAACAAGTAAGTGAGCAAAATTACAGTGTAGTACAATAGATCTGTATTTTTTAAAGCTGTGCAAGCCCTCTTAATCCTAAGGGAAGCAAGTATGGGATTATCTGGGTAAATTTATTCAGTTAAAGGATTTATCAACTTGCCTTCTCAGAATCTGTTCCTGGACACCTCCAGTTGTACAAGTAATACTGCAAATTGCCATCTCCTATGCCAAACTTGAGTTTTTCCAAGAATGTCTTATTTTCCATCAAGTCTAGTGCGTTGAACACATCAAATCCTTTCTGTCAATGTAAAAAGGATTTAAAATTTAAAACATCAAAAGACTAGAGTGTTTTCTATATAATGTATTTCAGTATACAACATTTAATTCCTCTACTGCTAGCTCGGATATGCATTTATAATAGGGTTTACTGTCTGTAGTATATGAGGGTACTTCAAAAAGTTCATGGAAAAATGGAATTAGAAGATAATGAAAACCTTTCCATGAAGTTTTTGAAGACCTTTCATATAGTATAGGTTAAGAATTCAGATCAAAACTGCCTAGCAGTGAATCTGATGAAGTAAGCAAGATAATTCAGAAATGCTGAATCAAAAAATGTATGATGATGGCTGGCATTGACATAAAATAATCTATTAAAACGATTTCAGAAAATACCTTGTTTCTGTTCTAGAAGGAAACAGTTGTCTAGATGAAGGTTGCTTCTCTAGGATTATTACTGGCCTTTCTAAGTCCTGACTTAGCTGAAGCTAAGGACAAAGAACCAAAGTTGTAAGAACTTTAAATAGTCTGCTTGTCTTGGGCTGATCTGGGACATAAACTTAGTAAAATTTTAATGGTAAAAATGGAATTTCTTTAAAAGTTAGATAATTATACTGTGCAAAATGCAATATAGAAGATGCACCTAAATTTTTATTTCTCAGGGTTTTTACCTATTATTGGCCATTTGGGGAAGTAGTTGAAAATGAGCAATCTGAGGATAATCTTGATTTGGAGATCGAAAAGTAATAGGTTTTTAAAAATGTTTTCAGTGATCAAATACTAGAGAAATGCAAGGAAGACACCTTTGGTGTGTTTCTAATTTCTCATGAACAGTTATTTTCACATATTCAATCTGTATCATCAAAATGTATCCGTTGGCTGGTTTAAATTTCTTTTTAAAGAAAAATGTTTATTTGTAGCAAGAATTTAACAATTATCCTAACTTCTACACAGAGGAAGTGGAAAAATAACAAATGTAGTAAGGTACATTTTGAATTTAATTCCTTTAATTTTAAAGTCCAGTTGAATCAAAAACTTAACTGCTGCTAATTATTCACTCAACACAAATATTTATTTACTCATGCATTTTCTTTATAGGATCATGTCTTTTTTAAAAATATTGCTTATATTATAGATTTTATGTATTCTTATATAAGGGTGAAAAGTTTCTAATTTGCACCAAGATCAAGGATTTTCAGAAACCGATACTAGCCAGCAAAATAATAAAAGGTTTAATTTGCACAGAATGTGTTTTTTGTTAAGTTGCAATAAAATTAATGATGAAAATGGCTACTAAAGTTTCAAAAGAAACTCCTATCACTATTCTTTCTTTGACTGATAGTGGTAAAAAAAGACCAAAAACACGGGCCGGCCTGGTGGCGCACTGGATAGTGCGCCGCTTGGGAAGCGCGGCGGCGCTCCCGCCCGAGGGTTCGGATCCCACATACAGACCGGTTCCCGCTCACTGGCTGAGCGAGGCGCGGGAGCGACCCCGAGGGTTGCGATCCCGTTGCCGGTCCCCAGTCCGGTACGGGGGCAACACTGAGGGTTGCGATCCGTTGCCGGACACAGAAAAAGACAAAAGACAAAAAAAATAAATAAATAAATAAAAAATAAAAATAAAAAAGAATTTGACTATGTGGAAGAAAACATATTTTATGTAGTCATATTGCTTAAGGACAGGGATACGTTATGAGAAATGTGTCATTAGTGCACTAGTGACTTCATCATTGTGTGAACATTTCAGAGTGCACTTACACAGATCTAGATGGTATAGCCCAACACACCTAGGCTCTATGGTCTAGCCTATTGCTCTTAGGCTACGAACCTGTACAGCACGTTATTGTACTGAATACTGTAGGCAACTGTAACCCGATGGTAGGTATTTGTGTATCTAAACATAACTAAAAATAGAAAAGGTACAGTAAAAGTATGATTTAAAAGATAAAAAAGTGGTACACCTGTATAGGGCACTTATCATGGCTGGAGCTTGCAGGACTGGAAGTTGGTCTGGGTGAGTCAGTGAGTGAGTGATGAGTGAATGTGAATGCCTAGAACATTACACTCCTGTAGACTTTATATACACTGTACACTTAGGCTACACTAAACTTGCAAGAAAATACAGCAATTGTGTTATGATGTTACAACGGCTACAACATCATTAGGCAACAGGAATTTTTCAGCTCCATTATAATCTTATGGGACCACCATTTTATATGCAGTCTGTTATTGACCAAAACATTATTTGGAGCATGACTGTACTTTGACATA